CAGCCTCAGTTAGCGTCCAAAATATAACTGGCATCTTTGCAAGCATCAGTGTTATTGCCTTTATTTCTTAGGAACAGCAGCCATCTGCTCCCAATAGCCCACATCTGGCATATTGAGTGTTACGAAAGAACCTCAGTCTTCTACTAAAGAAATGATTTCTCCAGCCAAAAGACTAGTGCAGAGCTGTAGTTTTACATTTGTAGTTACAAATTTATTGCATAGAGTATAATTACCTGAGGCTTTACATTTTAGAATGATGACTTCGTCTGGGATTTTTTTTTTAATCTCTGAAATATTGCTCTGGTGTAAATCACTGTGTCACAGAAAATAATGAAGAAGAAAGCAAGAAGGAGAGAGGGAAGTATCAGCGACACTGAGAACCTACACAGAAGTGCAATCCCTTCCCATTTTCCCTGTCTTGCACAGTATACCAGGCATCCTGTGATGACCCCAGAGCAGGAAGGGGCACCATTTGCATACCTCCTAAAATACAAGGCGTAATGCTTTCACATTTGCCAAAAGCTGCAATAAAGCAGTCTGTGCCTCCTGCTAGGAATAGACTGGTTAAGTTATAGAACTGATGTTGGTCACTGGACCTTAAAGCAGAGATGGCAATCTCCTGTGTTACCCGCTGTGGGGTGGTCAAAATGATGAAAACAGGGAATTCATGGAGGTCTCACAACCTTGGAGGAGAAAAGCAAGGTGGTGCTTGGAAAGGCTGCCATAGTAAGTACCTTTACAGAGAAGAGTGAAAACAGAGAAGAGCAAAAAAAGGATGCAACCCTGAGAAATCCCCCGGGCATGCCAGCCTTGAGTGAGTCACAGAAACTAATCAGCCAGCTTTTCAGGCTGAGGAAGATCCTCACTGCTGATTAACCTATTCCTGCAAATCCATTGCTTCTTGACTCTTTTATCCTACATTGCTATATACTGACAACACCGCATTTCCATGGCTTTCCGTGAGGAAGGACTTGCCAGGCCTCAGAAGCAGCACATGCAGGAGCTCCCCTGCAGAGCCCAGCACCCCAAGGACCTCTCTGCCCCAAGCGCAGCAGAGGCCACATCTCAGTTGAAGGGATGGAGATTGAGTGGTCTTTGCAGAAAAAGCATCTTCCAAGCACTGCCACTGGTTCATAAAGCTTCCTGACATAAAGCTAAGAAGCCAACTGAACTCAAAGTGGTGAGGGAGTTTAACTGGCAGCGGGCAGCAACTTCCAACATGAGACCTTTTAGCCTCAGAAAAAATACTGACCAATTACTTGGGAATATTCAGGATGGGATTCAGCCAGCCATTCTCATTCAATGTAGCACAAACACAGGCATATAGATACCTCCATAAATTATGGCTTTTACACAAGAGGGCCAGTCTGGTACTAGCAATGACAGCCTAAAAGAGCAGCTCAAAGTTCACAGCATCTGGACAAAAGCCTGAATACTTCCAACCACTGGTGACAACAGAACACGCTGTTACTGTGACCAGTAAGGTAGCTTGTGACATTGCCAGCACACGCCTTGCTGGAGGGAAGACAATATTCAGGCATGCTCACGGAGGTGCAAAGCAATAGGAGCCAAATACACGAAGGACCATGGAAATGTATTTCAGGAAGGGGAACATGTCTGTTCACATCTGCACTGTGTTCACACGGAGGCAGAGCACAGCACCAGGTTCACTCCGGTTTCAGCTCAGCTGGCAGTTGTCATGCTGAGTGTTATCCCTGCCTACCTCGGGAGGGAAGGGCATAAAAAGGCCCCTTTGCCATTTGGTTGCAGTGGGAATAAGTTCGCCCGCGAGGCTTACAGTAATAAGTGTGCACATGTTTTGTTTGGCCCTCATCCTAAAATAATTGTTTAGTCACAACAGAAGGTGACAAGCAATTCAGCTGCAACCCCTGGGGAATACCAGGAGAAAAATCCTGAAGCACTCGCACAGCAGTGCTCGGGCTGCTCTGAAACACCAGGATCGACCTCAACAGCTCCACAGCTCCGTCCCCTCAGCCCCGCAGCCCTGCCACCAACCCACCCCAAGCAGCTCTCCTCTTGCACTTGGGTAAGGCAGCAACCTTACCCTGCTCTCTGCGTCCAGAGGAGGGTCACCGAAAGCAAATGAGGGTCCACCAACCTCCGCCTGGATGCAGCCAGAGCTGCTACTGTAAAAATAAAGCCCTTCTCAGGTCCTCGTCGGAGCATGGAAAGCATGGATAAAATGTCTGGGATCAAAGATATTAAATTAACAAACATCTCCACCTAAGCATGCAGCTACTGTGATTGCTCAAACCCTGAAGTATGAACAGGCATGGATGAATTTTCATGTGATAGCACAAAAGGCAGATTCTTGACACCAGGGTCACCTGTGATTCAGGTCTCCAGTTCGTGCTCCAACGCAGCAAAAGATCACCATAATCGGACACGGAAGAATATATTTTCCCCCTCTTATAATGTTTTCAGAAGCAGCCAAATCATTTTAGCCAATTACTTAGTTTATTTTTTTTTCAGAGGCATGAATAATTTCCAACATGGAAAATTTCTGCCTGAAGTGCTAAAACTGGCATGGAACCATAAAATGGACTCATATAATAAAGGCCTCCAGCAGCTACCATAGCCAGTGCTACCAAGCTTACCTAGAGCACTTCTTTCCACTGCATTAAGAGGATCTGCTTCACTCTTCCCCTTTCAGTCCAATTTCCACTGTACAGCACCACAAGTTTGCAGCATGCGCGTGATAAGGCGGAAGGAAGGGGAAAAGCCACAGTTTCATTCATTTCTTCAACATAGGCAAAAAGCAGCAGTTAATTTTTTTTGGTAAGGGAAGTTGAAGGGGTTGGGGATGTAAGGGAAGGTACACATTTGTGTTAAACTTTCCTATAGGCACCATGATGTACGTGTATATAAATATATAAAGCATCTCCAAGCTGTCACGTAAATTTGTTGTGCTCGCACAGAGCTAGTTTGCATCTTCTTCCCTGAACGGACCCTGGTGACAATGTTTTCCACCTAGGAGCAAGCACTGCTCTAAAGACGCCACATTGAGGAAGGGCTGCTACCTCCTTGCACGTCTGCACACCCAAGGAGCCAACCACTGTGTGCAACCACAGCAGGGCAGCGGTGCCGCCGGGGCACACACGAATCCCGGGAGACTTTGCCCTTTTTGGGGCAAACAGCCCCAGCCGGTCAGATGCAGCCGATGCCCCGAGTGTCAGTAAAGAGGAGATGCTGCGGAGAAGGAAGCGCCGAGCTCCATTTCCTTTCAGAGCTGGCCGCTGCCCAACAGCTGTTCCCTGTTTATTTGCTTTAATATTTCCTTGGTTACGCAAGCGGCCGCGCACAGCTTAACCCCTGTGTGTCCCACTGTGGCCCCTCTGCCCACTCCGCCTTGGCAGAGCATGCAACCTGGTGGGTCTCACTGTTCCTCAAACAGGCCATCCTGCTGTCCCTCGGCAAAGGCCCAAACCGACCTGCGCACCCACCTCTTCCGAGCTGACCTGAACCTGCTTATGTGACCAGGAGTCCCACACCGCCTGCTCGGCTGCGCAGGCCCAGGCGCATTGCGATTTTAAAAGCACACTTGGATCTGGATGGCTCTGAAGCGAGGCACCCTCGGCCCAGGGCGCCCGCCGCAAACACGCCACCTTTGAGAGTGTGCAGGGCCACTCGGGTAAGCCGGAGGCCGAGGGCGCTCCGCTCCGTGTCCCATACACAGGCCGGGAGGGAGGCGCCAGGGAGTTTTCTGGCAGTGGCTGCAGGCCCATGGATCACTTCACACATTTTCCTTTCTCCTTGGTGCTGAGCCCGTTCCAGCAGCTCAGTTAGTTTGTGTTCTGGCTCGTAAAGCCCAGCCAGACCCCTTGGCTCATCCGCGCTGTAGGAGGAGGAGGTGGGGACACCCTTGGATTACGGACCCAGGACGGCTTTCTGCAAGCCCTTCTCTTCCAATTGCCTTTCCAGCTCTCCTCCATTTCCCTCCTGGCCACCCCACTCTATCCCACACCAGGACCTAGTGGCTAAACCAGCTGCTAGCAGCAGCTCTCCAGGCTGGCAGCATATTCCACTGGATAAAAGGAAATTCCCTAGCATCCCTGGAACACCAACCGTGAAGGACAGCAATCCCCTCAAGAATCTGTGCTTTTGGGCAGCAGCCCTGTTTCAAAAAAAGCAGCCCATACTCCCACGTATTTCATCTCAAGGTGCTCACACATCCTTTCATCCTCACCTCAGCAGGGACCGGTGGGCTCCGCTGGCAGAAGGACACTGCAGGGAAGGTGCAGGCAAGGCAGGAGAGGCATGAGGAGCTAAGGGGCTACAGCTGCATGGTAGGCAGGGGCAGAAATAAACCACTTAATCTCTTTACTAATGGAGCTGATCAGAGAAAGAGCAATGGGGATACCTGAGGAGTCCTGGGATGTAGCGTGGGAGTCTAAGCAAGGGGCTGGAGTGAACACACATGTAGAGCAAACATTTGCCCCTCCTGGCCTGGAGCCCAAACCCAACTCAAGGCAGGCACCCAACCTCACTGCCTAAAGAAAGGGCTCCCAGGAGGATTAGCATCTGCCTTCTTGAAAAAAAATCCACTAAATGATTTTATCTCTCCACACAAGGGAGGCATACTGGAATACAGCCACTGAGAGAACACCGTCTTCAGCTAGGAATGACTTTCCATGGACCGTTTTTGAGGAATATGTCTTGCCTTCGATTTTAGTAAATCAAGCGCTTAGTTGCAGAACGACAGAACTCACCGCTACATCCCAAACCCCAGGGTGCACACACGGAACCATAGCGTCAATGGAGGGAAAAAATACTCAGTAGCTACAAGCTCAGCTTTTGAGGGTGCTTTGTTTTTCTTTTTCCATGGACGTCTAAATAGCATTTATATTTCCCCAAAACATTTTTGGTAGATTACAAAAGGAATGTTTGCCTTTAGCGTAAAACATAAACCATGCTTCTCCCAGTTAACCCCTTCTTTTGCCCGGCAAAGATAAACACAGAAGAACTGAAGGAATGCTCACCTGCAAGTCAAAGAACTTGCTGTACCGGCGGTATATGACTTCTGTGGACCCATTGGACCAGGTGACTTTGATAATGTATACCTGCAGGAAACAGAGGAAGAAATTAGAGACGAGCCACAGAGAACAGTCTATACCACAAACACACAGAGCTGCTAACACAGCTGCTATGGGAATCAATAAGGAAAGCTCATGGGAACACTTAAACTCAATGATTAATTTCGGCAATACTAGAAAATATGTATGTTTAGGTTATTCAGCTTCACTGCTGGAAGATATCTATCCGCAAAACACTCATGGTTGTGACTACAGACAGCTCCCAGTCCTTAAACACAGGCAAATGCAAACTGTGAAAAACCACTTCACCTTAAAATAAGGTAAAAGACTCTCCAGAAACAGACACATTAACAGTTAATAACTACATTTGACCAACCCGAGTATGGCTGTGGGATCAAGTTTGACCCAGAGACCCCCCATACTGCAGCCCTCAAGGCACTGTGCTATGAGCCATATGCCAAGCAGAGCCAGAGCTGCAGCCTGCAAGAACGTGTAACCTTTCAGGTTCAAAATTTGGTTTGTTTCTTAAAAAAAATAAAATAAATCACGATTCTTTCATGATAGATAACAAGTAAGTAAAAGACTCCAGGAATTATTTAATGTTCTCATTTGTTGTTCACAGAAATCAAGGATGACTCTTGATGAGTTGCCAATGTAATTATCACGTGTTGCAAATCTCGTTCTTCACTAATTGATAACAGATTTACTAAACAGATCAAGGGCATGTTCACTTTCGATTCTAACATCCTGCATATTTCACCAGAAAGTTGAGTATCAATCCACCAAAGCAGGAACAAAACACTGAGTAGACTCTGGGAAATGGAAGTTCTGGGAACTTCAGGCTGAGAGTGAAGAGCAGAGGCTCCTAGAATTAAGTTGTTTTGGTATTTAAAACAAAATCCCTTAGTTTCACAACTTTTCCCACAGACACATACATTTTTCCATATGCTGGATTCCAACCAACATCCCAACCCAATATTCAAGCTCAAACACCAGGAGACCTAAACAGATAGTGCAACACTAAATTCTTTGAGTTAGTTGAATCTGTTCTAATGCCTTATTAAAAATCTAAACTAAATGGCATTCTGCTTCTCGGAGGACTGAATGAATATGAGCTATCAAGGTGAAGAGACTAAGGGAACTGCAAAGTCTTCCCCACAGAATTGCTTTTAAGATGGAAAAAGAGGCAGAGAGATAAAGCAAGTCATTATTTTTAAGATAAGGAGCCTAAGTAGTTTTAATCTAACAGTTAAATGACCACCTCTCTTAAACCAGATGAGCTGCCCAAACTCAGCTGCTCCTTGTTTTTTTAAACTTGCAGTAAACTGGTTGGAGCATTATACCCACCACTGCCTTCTACGAGGCAAAACCAGAATCGCTCAGCTTCCTCTCAGAGCCCTAATTCAACTAACCACAACCGTCGTTCATACAAATAGTCTTATTTCTGAACTGAAGGATGCAAACTTTCTTCCCATTAATACAATGGGGACCAGAACACAGCATTTATAACATCTTTGAAGGCCTGGATGGACAGTAATTTACTATAACAGCCACCCAGCAATATAACTATGGCTCGAATCCCTCAGTTCCCCTCAGCCAACACCATGAGAGGTGACTCGACCAACCATACTTTGCAATGAAAATGGATTAAGCTGCATGAGATGGTATTTGAAATTTCTGAGAACATCCATGCACTTACCACCTCTCAGGCACAAATAATCTCACAGTTTGGCTGAGCCCAAAGTTTACAAATACTCAGTTCCCGAACACCAAAGTGGTTAAACACGTCCTCTCTTCTCCAGGACCAGCCTCTCCTGAACCTGCCTGCTCTGGTAGAGCCAAGACATTCACAATTTGGAATAGATCCTATTATTAGCAAAGTAAGTGTTAACTTCATTCTAGAAGCGCATCCAAGATGCCTTCACCCTCACCCCAGGACTTACTGGGAGGCCAAAATGAGCTCATTTTGGTTGGAACTTCAGCTGATATCCCAGCTTTCTTACCAGTCTGCAGCACTTTGCAGAGTTATATCACTGCTGGCTGCCTGCCTGGAGAACGCCTTCCACTGGGGCAGGGGAAGAGCCAACTTTTCTTCACTGTTTATTCCCATCCTGCCTTTATTTGGAGTCAACAGTTTATTACACTGGGATTTTAATCAGGATGTGGATTCACTCAAGACAAAATGAATTTAAAGCTCAGAAGGGCAATAAAGCCATGAGATTGAGGGCACACCATGCTTTATTATACACTTTGCAATTGAGGGAAGGGGCAGTTCTCCCAACTTATGAGCTCACTGCTGTCTTGCTGACATGCAGATCTCTGGTATGTCTGGATAATTGTTACTTGTGCATCTGATACAAACAGAAGAAACGTCTCTGTGAAGGTACTCTCCTCATCCATCTGTGGAAAACAGAAGAGACAGGAAAACACACAACACAAAAAGGAGATTCAATATCTTTTGTCCTCTACACAGAGGACCTATATGACCATGGCATTCTCTTGGCCAAAACCTGTATGGATCTTGGCCTATGCTGATTCTTAATCCAGTCCCTGTTGTTCTAGGGACAAAAAAATAAGCAAAACACACACATACACAACAAAAACCTGAAGGCAAACCTCAGGCACCCCTTCACTGACAGTAAAGGGGCAGATTTTCAAATGGATTGAATGGAGCGGTGATGCCCACAGCTGTTTGTCAAAGGAACTGTAGATGGTCAAGTACTAAGCTCCCACAGACATTCAATAGTCCCTTTCTCAGGTGCTTTTGGAAGACTCTTTCAGCGATTATTTTAAAATATTGCACTCAGCCTGAAGTCTTCATTTCCCCATGTGCGCAGGGTATCTCCTAACACGGCACTGCACTCCAGCCAACCAGGAGAGCCTGGGATGAGCGATGCTGCTGCCTCCTCCTCCATCAGCTCCCAGACTGTTTGGCTGAACTCGGCCATAAAAGCAGCAGACTGAACAGCCCCAGTTGCAAGTCATAGGAAGCCATCCAGCCCCAGCAAGGCACCAAGCACAATCTTGCAACAAAACATGAGAGGGGGCACAGAGCCGCTCAGCTCTACGGAGGCTGCTCCGAGAACGGGCGTTTTCCACGCCCGGCTGCGTGGGTGAGGGCATGTGGAAACAGTTATTTCATGAGTCTTCCCCAGGCTTGCTATGGTCCTTCAAAGAAATAACATATAGAAACCACCAGCAGGACCTTTCCATGGAAAAAGCAACTCCTCATAGAAGGCATCTCCTGGGGCAGTTACTACCTCTGCCTTGGGTCTTCACACCCACCAAACTGCTCCATCCCCAAACAACGAGCACAGCTGGGCTTTGTTGCAGGGAACAGGGGGAAGTCAGAGCTCAAATCCAGCCCCGAGATCTGCTCAAGGGGTGGGGAGAGCTGAGCAGATGGCAGGGAGGCAGCGCGATCCAGAAGGGAGGCTGCAACCCCATCACGTGGGCTGGGCCAGGGGCCAAAACCAACAGGCAAAGCTATCTAAATATTTACAGGCCTTCTCAGGCCAGCAGCAGGGTCTGCACCGTGGAGGGAAACTAGCTGACTCCGTGAAACCTGGGAAGCCATGGTTCCTCTCCCTCCGGAAAGGATGCCCGAGTCTGTCCCACTCCCAACACCGCAAGCTGGAAGGGCCTCCACCCCTTGCCCCACTCCAACCTGGATTGCTGCACATGTGTCACATCAGAACTGCAGCTAAGTCTGATGCCTGAAGGCAAAGGGCCAAACCGAGCTTTGTAACAGGCAAAAATCACTGAGACTGAAACCCTCTCACATTCACACTTAATTGGAGCTGCAGATCATAGGAGAATAAATGAAATTCATGCCCATGGTTTTGAAATTCTTGAAATGCAGTTCAAGGCATTTGTCTTACTATAACAAGGCACAGAGGAAGTGAACAGAGTTTTTGTAGCTACTTAAACACACTTAAAGTCTGCTTTCAAGTTTAAAAAATGCCACATTCATGAGCTTCCCCTCCCCAAAATTATTCTTCTCTAAACCGTCTGTTCCCTTGCCTTCAAGTTTGCCAGGCAGCATCACGTTTTCCAAAACCTCAAGTACAAGACAACTCACACTTTGCAGCAAGCCTGAATTACGGGGCAAAGCAGTGCTAGGCTGGACTATCTTTTTAGGGCCGTAGTGTACACTGCAGAGAGGGAACAAGATCTTCCCTCTGCTTCCACATGGCTTTTTGTGGGTGGTAGGAAGTTCAGAGGCCACAGTGACAGTTTCAAAGGTGCAGGGGATCTTGCTTAATGCTGGAAGAGAAAAGCACTTCATATTAAAGCAAAACACAGCACACACTTCTGTTCCTTGGAGGACAAAACTGGAACAAATCCTTTATGGAAAGCGGAACCCAACGGATGCAGAAGGCTGAACTCTGACGGCCCCAGCAGTGCCTTGGCTCACTAATCTTCCTATGAAACTTTACAAGTAATTGACCATACATCAATAGTTCAAAAATTAGAAATCAGGAAGATTATCCTCACTAATCTTCCTATGAAACTTTACATTACAAGTATTTGACCATACCAATAGTTCAAAAATTACAAATCAGGAAGATTATTGCAACCATGGTTCTCCAATATTCCTTTTGATAACCTCTGACATACAGTGCCCAACCTGGAAATGCAAGAATGGAAAAAAAGACCCATTAGATGATGCAAGTCCACCCGCTGGCAATCACAAAACTGTTCCCCACAGAGCCTGTCTCACGTGCTCTCAGGCGTATCGCAGCTTTCCCCTCTCTCCAGCATTTCTGGAGACACTGTTCAGAGCAGGAACGAGCCAGTGGAAAGTGGGACTGAAAACCCTCATAAGGCAACTGTCAAAAAAGACAGGTTGCTAAAAGAAATGCAAATGGCACCTGGCCAAGCATAACAGAGCTGTCAACAAAAGCTGCCAATCAGCTATCATGTTAGCAAGGACTCTGGCAACTGCAGGGGAAATATGCTGGCAACTCGCAGCAAGCAAATACCTTCCATGGCTTCAAGAGGGAGATCCATCCTCCCACTGGGAGCACACCACGAGGATGGGGAACATCAGAGCCCAGCTGCCTGGGAATGGCACCCAGACAGCACCACACCGCAGAAAGGCCCACCACTTGCTCAAACATCAAGTGCCACCAGGTGAAAGCGCTAGGTTAAGCGGAGAGAGCTCACATACAAACCAAAAGCAGACAGAATTCCAGAGACTGAAATGCCTGAGAACAGAAGGAAAAAGAATTCAGTGCAAATTATCTCTCTCTGTCCAGAACATCAGCCAGAGATCTTCTTTCCCCCTTAAACAAATGATGTAGCAAGTATAAGCCCTGGGAACTGTCAGCCTCTAGAAGTTCTCTACCAGGGGCCAATAACAGATCTCAGTGCAGCAGATAACGCTTGGACAATTACCACAGCTCACACTGGCCAAGGAGGTTGAAGCCTTTCAAAAATGGTCAGTCTTGCATCTTATCCAAGATGCATGTTGTCCCCATAAGAAAAAAAAAAGGGGGGGTGGGGAGAAGGGGCGAGAGGGTTTGTTGTGAAAGAAAGTAGATGATTCAAGTAGCTGCTTTTGGGCTATAAGATTAAGGACAGACACAAGGAAATACTAGTTTCCAGGCCTGCTCCTGAAACATGAGGCCATATAACTTTTTGGAGTAGTCACTTCTGGACTGCTTGTAGAAACACATTAGGGACACATACAAAACACAACACAGAAATCAGCCTATACTGCTTAAATCTGAAGACGACAGATTGGAATTATAGGAAAGCCTAGAGCAATAGTTTCAGCCTCTTTCATCGCACAGGTCTTCCTGTGAGACTTAGAAGTGTCCTGTGTGCAGGAGTACAGGTGAAAGCCCAAAATAAGGCTCTGACCCCAGCTGCTGACTGTTTCTGGACCACCTGCTGGGTATGTTCAATGTTTTCTTGCTCTCCAGAGCAAGAAAACAAGATGAGCAGCCAGGACTGCGCACAGCATCAGCGCAGCCCCAGCCACTGTCACCTGCATTCCCACTACCCACCATACTCTCCTTCCAGAGCATCACACATAGCAGATGCTCCGTGTAGTCCCAACTTCAAAAGATTTGCATCAGCATGCAAGAACTGGCCCACCCATAAGCAGAATCTCACCCTTCCTCAGCTCAGTGTAGACTCTCGAGCTCACTGCCCCACGCAGCAGCACGCAGCTCCTAGGTCACTGAACAAGTAGACACCTGAGAGGGGAAGCCCACCCAGCACAGCAGAGCATCATGCAGACATGTCAGTGTAGGCCAAAGACCAGCACACCCACATCACACAATGCACCAAGCAAAGTAGAGTCCCTCAGCAGGCCTCCTGGCATGGTGTGCAAGTCAGCCGCGGCAGCCCGGGTGCCTCCACAGCCCTCTCTGCACCCCCAGATCCGCACACGTGACACTGAAGCAGCCTCCTACCTAGGGCCAAGGGTACTCACAGCAAGGGGGAACAAATCAGGAGGTTCTGCTCTTGCAAACACCGAGAACTGTGTTCAGGGGTAGGGAACCTGCACGGTGTGGAAGATGGCAGAGAGCAAAGCTAGGAGTCAGACACCCATGACTTTGGGACAGGATTACGCTGGCTGTCCTGCACCAGTGCCTGCCACATCCAAGTCACAGTAACAACATGGATCTTTAGAAAGCGACACCACAGTCACCCAGAAAGCTGCTTCCAGAGCCTTAGACGTGCGCATTGCACCAGCGTATACCCAGAGCGCCCAAGGCAGAGCCAGACATAACAGCCTCCAGCGGAGGGGGAACTGTCTGAAGGACTATTTCAAATGGGTCTGAGCCTGTGTGGTCTTGGGGCCGGACAGACTATGCACAATAAACCTCTCTGTGGAAAACTGCATATATTTAAAGCATCTTTCGGCAGCAGAGGGAAAAAGCATCAGTCGCTTGATTCCACCCGCGCTCTCCCACACCCCGAAGCCCAGGGAGACAATATGAGAGGCTTAAAGCACCACCCGCCCGAGAAGCTCAAAGGGGCTGAGAAACCAAACCAGCTGCGGGAACCAACCCAAACAGAGCAGCGTTTAACACAGAGGGAGTGGGAAAACTTAAGAGGAAAAGGAGAAGAAAAAAAAAAAAAAAAAAAAGAGGGAGGGGACTGGAAACAAAGAAAGTTCTTGGCCGAGCGCTGCTGCGCTTGGCCCCTGTCCACCAGCCGCTGCCCCAGCAGGCGCGCAGGGCTGCGCAGGGGAGCGGGCAGCGGGGCACGGCCGCGGCTCGGAGCACGAGTGGGACCGCAGCTCCCGGCTCTGCCCACCGGCACGGCCGCCTGCCCGCGGGAAAGGCGGATCTGGTGGTGACAGCACCAGGGAACACGGGGAGGCAGCGAGCGCAGGGTGGCCCTCGAGGCTGACATGGATGCCTTGGGGTGGGGGAGACCCAAGCAAGGCAGCAGGGCTGAGGGAGCTGCAGCTAACTGGGATGCAGTGGGCAGGCCAAGGGAGGTGGCATGAGGACAGCGATATCCTTGCCAACGCAGCAAACAATCCAAACCAAACCAAACTGCCCGTTTGCCCAGGGCCAGCTAGACTACAGACCAGCTGCTGTTTCCAGCCCCAAGTCCCATACCCGCCTTAAAACCCCAAGACCAACCGCTTTTCGTGTTCTGCTGCTTTGCAACTCACTGAGGCACACACTACCCAAGCACGCAGCTGAGAAGCTGCTGCTCTGAAAAAAGGAATATCCAAGCAGTGTGCAGTAGTAGTGCATGGAGCAGTGAGATCCCAAGGGCAACATGCTGAGCTTCCCTTGACCGCTGCGCAGGGCCCTCCCTCACACAACGTACACGCTGGTTTCCTTGCTCTGAGTCACAGTGAAGGTCAAACATATGGATTCATTTGTTTCCCATTTCCCACCACTACATGAAACAGACGGAAAACACATACACTCTCCAAAGCAAAGTTCCGAAGGATCAAGGTCACCAGCTCTCCGAATGGACAGGGCCACGTCCTTTATGCTGAAGTTATGCTGCAACCACATGCAAACCCCAGCAACCTAGAGCCCTCCAGTTAGTGGGCAGGGCTTTTTCATCAACCTCAGTGGATCCTTGTCAGGCTCTACCACTGAACTACGACATCCTGGGTTTTCAACAGCCTAAGGTAACATGACTGGGGAAGAAAAAAAAAAAAACAAAGGATTGCATTTGACTGAGGCTTTTCACAGAGCCAAAGTGCTCCCTTAAGCCTCAATCAACTCAAGAAGCAAGAAGGAAGGAAGAAAGCTCAATCAGCTCTTTAACACTATGCAACGGAGCAGGACCAGACATGAAGATGGGTCCAAATTTCTGCGCATGGTGGACTCCAGCTGCAGGAGGACTCCAAACCAAGGGCCTTTGGCCTGCCTCAAGCAGGAGAGGGAAAACACCAGACAGCTGACGGGAAATGGGATCAGACACACCATAGCCACAGGACACAGCAGCAAAACCATGTCTAGGATGCTGAGAAAGAGAGAGCTTTCAGGCTCTCAGCTCCATCTTTCTCTCAGGGCCAGGAGCCAGCTGCTCAGTAACTCTTTCCAGAGCAGCAGAAAATCCAGTTTCTGGGATTCAGGCTTGTTTCACACGGAGTATTTTCATTTTTATTTTTTTAAAAAAATTCCTAGTTTATTCAACAGCCTTCAGAATGACTTAACACTACTCATTTTAACCTTCTACTCCTGTGGTTCACACACATCTAGCTCCTTTGGTTTCCTCTTGGGACATTCCGGCCATACCATAAACATGGCCACTCTCCACAGAGAGACTGGTACTGCTGGGAGTCATCTCCTCATGCCCTTTTAAAGCCAAGCAGATGATATGATTCACAATATTAAAATATAACGCTGCTGTACGTGGCAATATTGAACCAGGTCTCTTCACAGAGCCAACTGACCAAGGGCACTATGACACACAAGTCCATGGGAGATGAGTTGGGAAGACATCCTCTGCTTTGTAACCGCTAGTCACTGAGGAATGATCAGCAGTCCTCTTGCAAGTCAAATATTCTTCTCCAAATACTCAGTAACCATTTCCAGATCAGCAATGTGAGGCGGGTTTGTATGGCAAACAAAACATAAATAGCTTGACAACCATAAAGAACTGAAGCAGCAAACAGTCCAGAGAAGCAGTACTAGCACTTCACAAACTCTAGATTGAGAATATAACACATTTACTTTCAGAACTTCTAGTCAAACATGTTTTAAAATACCTATAGACATTATAATCTAGACATTAGATTCTGACATGTACTTTTAATTATTTTTGCAAGGCAGCTGCCGATACAACTGAGGTAGTTAAATATGCACGGCTATTCACCTGGATTATAGTTTGCAATCCTATTAATGGAGCTTGCAAAATAAATATACTCTGCCTACTTGGTTTAAATTATCCCTTTTCAAAGTGATATGTGTGCATTGAGGCTGGGAAAGGAAGCCATGCAAAAGCATAGCCCAGGTTTTCCAATAAGCTAACAAAAACAAACAGCATGCTGTTCTTTTTTTCCTGTCAGATGTATGACTAGTTTTAATTTGTGCTCTAGAGCGAGCATTTAAAACTACAAGAATTATGGAAATATTGTTGGTGGAAGAAATTGTAGAAAAGGTAAGATTCATCTGCATCACTATTAACGCATAGAACAAAACACACCAATTGTAGCTCCATTAAAATGAAAATTACTGAAGCTTGCCCAATGGCAAGAAAACAATCTAAAATTTAGATCCAGTAAAGAAAAGCTTTGTTTTGTGGACTCTACTAGGGAATAACAAACACGAAACTATAAAAAGATCCTGTGTGAAATCCTTTAAAGGAAAATTTACTGTTTCAACTACGGTTTTGTTTTGGGTCCTTCTTGAATAAATACTCATTTATCAGTCTGTTACTCTGTTGCCCAGAATGATTATTTTTAAACTTCGCTTGGGCTTTGCCTTCTGAGATTTGTAATACGTTCCTGGGACCCTCTCTGTCAAAGTCACAAAGTGCCAGACTCCCTAGTCATAAACCCTAATCTGTTAAAATATGATTGTAAGAGAAATGTCCCTACAGAGTGACCCTATACCCATTGCATCAGTGAAGGGAAATTGCTTTCTTCATCAGTTGGAGAGTGAGCTACAGAGATCCTCAGCTTGGTCATTCCCTTATGACAGAACCAGAGCAATGCATTTTGCACCAAACATCTGCAAAATATTCATTTCTCTACTTGCTCTTTTCCTTTCACATCCATAAAAAAAAGGATTTAACTGTCACTTAACTGTCATTTAAACACCCAGGGTTAGCAGACGAGCAGAGAGGGTACAAGCACAACATATGGCAACACAGCTCACAGGGCAAGTTCTGGGGTCCTATCACTTGGAGCAAGAACTTTGGTCCCACCTTCCTTTTCCTCTCAGCCCCTCTGTTTGTGAGATTGACAAAAACAGGAGGCAGACATATCAACATTAGAGCACTGAAAGCCTTCCAGGAGCTTGCTGCAAGGAGAAAAGCATGAACAAGGGGAAGCATCCCCTGACACTGGGAGCTTGGACTAAATCCTGCTCACTGAAGTACTACTGAAGGGTTTAGAGACACAGAAGAAAAAACATCATGAGGCCACCCCCATTTCTCCTGGCTCCTCTGAACACACCTGCATTGAACAAACTTTGCAGCTGAGCTCTTCACACCCACAGCAGGTAGATGCAGATACTGGGCTGCCACTAAAATAAGAGGACCATATGGGCTCCATAAGTGCCTTGCTCCTCTTGGCTTAGCTTGCCAGCGGCCACCAGTCTGTTCCACTGAGAAATGGGGTGACAGTGACACCCAGGGCTGGGACTCATCTCTCTCCAAGGAGGATTTTCATCCGTGTCGTGTACAAGCACGAACACATGCATTTAGATGGCCCCAGCTTGCAGCTGCCTACAGCCACCCAGCTAAAGCCTGGAAGCCAGTTTAGCACGTTTGAACCAGCACCTAGCTACCCAGACAGGACACCCTGCTCGATCCCAGCCTGCCCAATGTCTCAGTCACTCGGGAAGGAGATCAGCAAGGTCTCCAAGGGGCTCAGGGCCATCCAGCTGGAAGAAGGATCATGAAGTGTTAGAAGAGGACAGACATGTAGAGGCTCTGACCCTGGAAACAGCTTTATACAACACTTCCATCAGGACTGCAGAGCTCTGGGTGGCACCTATTGTGGAGAGGCTGAGAGGGCTACGGGATACCCAATCTCACGGCACAGGCGAGCAGCGCTGCGAGAGCTACACAGGCAGCATTGCCCACTGGACATGGCAGGTGACCATTTTCCAGGAGAATAGGCAAATATTCACAACATGACTGGGGAAGAAGCCTGCATTTACCTCCCCCAGCCTGCATTTAGGGAAATACAGAGTCTCGCATTTCACATCAGCTACAAAAGCACAAGCTTTTGTCTAGGGCCACACAACGCTTCCTATCAGGTACCGGGCAATGGACAAAGAGCTCAAGCCAGAATAGAGTAGACCCTTTCCAGACCCTTGCTTCCCCCACTGCAGGCATCAATAAGGACACTTTCAACCGTGCTTTAATCCCCCTTCTCTGGGAAACTCGAACTGCTGTTTTCTGCGCTGCTCTCCCCGCAGCCAACACAACCGCACCTTTGTCCAGCAAATAAAAGCCTCGGCTCCGCGCCGGGAGAGGAGCCTCCATCCGCACGCCGCAGGTCAGCGGCAGGTCAGGCTGGAGCGGAGCAGTGGGAAGACAAGCCGGGCTGCTCCTCCAGCCGCCCAGAGGACACCACGCAACTGCCTTTGGGGGAAGCAAAGTTATGCTCAGAGAGGAGAGGCTGGAGAGCAAAGGCTTAATGCACGCGCTCTGCGGCCGACTCTGTTCTGCAGCGGGCAGCAGATAGGCTCTCGAGCGAGATGACTCAGCCGTGACTTGCTGCTCTGCTCCCTCTCTTTGCGGGAAGTAGAAAAAAAAAAAACATTTTGATTCTATGTAATTAACTGGCTTTGGGAATCTTCTCGGTTCCTATTGATCCCCTGCAACAAGGCGAGCGCTGCTGTTCACTCCAGAGCTGCCGCGGGGAGGCTGCTGCCTCCGCTCCCGGGACTCGCGCCCGCTCCTGGCCGCGCCACTCAGCTCCTGCCAAGACGACGCTGGGGGAGGTTAGAGGCAGAGCACTGAGCCAGGAGCAGCTTTCACCTCCTCAGCAACCAGCACATCCACCCAGCCGCCTGTCCACGTGCCTCTCGTTCTACAAGATGCCTCCATCCCAACTTTCCAACCTCATGGGGCTTCTGTATGCCATGTCCAAGGAGCTCCTCATACCCATCTGGCAGCCACGACATCAGCCCAGGAGGCAAGCGGGGAGCCTCAGGGCCACAAGGAACCCCCTGCCCCAACAAGGGAACAAGAGGGATTGAGGAGGA